GGGGTGGGAGGGGAGGGGACAGCATGCGGGGCTGGGACCCTGCAGGATGCGATGGCACCGGGATGCTGAACAAAGAGGGGACCCCCACACGGCGCAGAGGGGAATGGGGGGGGGGGATGCACGCTGCTGGGTGCCCTATTAGAGAGCAGTTCCTGGGGGGGAAGCCCCCACCCCAGCGAGGGGCTCAATGGGACGGGGGCTGCCCGCCACCTTCTTGGGGACGCAGCAGAAGGAATGGGGATGTGGGGTCACCTCACAGCCCCGGGGACAAACAGCAAACAGCAGAGAACCCCCCCGCCACGCAAAGCAGGAAGGGGGGAATGAGCCCCTTCCCCCAGGGGCAGCCGCGGGGCAGCAGGGCAGCCCCCTCCCCATCCTCTGGCAGCGCTCAGCACCTACTGGTTGTCCTCTCTGGCAGCGTGCAAGGAAAGAGAGAGGGGCACGGCCCCCCCGCGTTAGAAGCCCCACGGTGGGCACGAGGAGGGGCTGGGAGAGCATCGGACCCCCACGGGGGGGGTCTGGGGGCTGCACGGTCCCTATGGGGTGCGGCAGGACAGCAGCGCACAGACAGACGGACACGAGACGGACACCCGTTTCCTCCACGTGGCAACGAGGGAGGGCGCCCCAGAGCCCCAGATCCTCCCCACCCCCATGGGAGGGGACGGACAAACAGCCACGGGAGGACGCAGCGCCCCACGGTGAGACGCGGTGGGACGGTGGGGCTGCCCCATAGCGTCGGTGCGACCCCACAGAGGAGCAAGGAAGCCTTACAGCGTTTGGTAGCTGCTGTCCTTGGACTTGATGAACTTGAGGATGAAGAAGAGGACGGCCTGCACGCTGAGCACCAGCACCATGCCGCCCACAAAGCTGGCCGTGTCGAAGCCCGGAGGCTGGAACTCGGGGCTGCCCGTCAGCGGGGCACGCGTGGTGCTGCTCCCTATGGGACAGAGTGGGGCTACGGGGACGGACCCTAACCCGACCCCCCTCCTGAAGGATGGGGTCCAGCGGGAGAGAAGGGCTCGGCCCCCTCCGTTGCTGGAGCGGCACGAGGCATCAATAATTCAGAGCCGCAGCTCCGGTTACGGCCGCTTTTAGCCCAGCTCTCCAGTTCCCATTTCCTGGAAGAGGCTCCATCTCCTCTCCCGGCCCCATCCCAGCTCCCTGCCCGCTCTGCTGCCCGCACAGGAGTTGCTGCTGCTCCCCAGGGCCCCGCAGCCCGTCCTACACTGCTGCAGCACGGGGTGAAGAGCTGTGGGGCTGGGGCAGGGCTGGCACCGTGCGCACAGCAGGGCTCAGAGCTCAGTGATGGGACCCTGAGAGGGTGGCGCTGCTCATCCCCGGGGACACAGGATGCACAGGGAAAAGGGTGGTCCCATCCCATGCCATCTCATTTTGTCCCATCCCACCTCATCCCATGCTGTCCAACCCCAATCCATCCATCTTATCCCACCCCATCCCATGCTATTTAGCCCCAACCTATCCATCCCATCCCATTCCCATGCTATCCCATCCCAACCCACTTATCCCATGCTATCCCATGCTATCCTACCCCATCCCATCCCATCCCATCCCATCTCATTTTGTCCCATCCCATCCCACCCCATCCCATGCTGTCCAACCCCAACCCATCCATTCCATCCATCCCATCCAATTCCATGCTATCTTACCCCAATCCATCCATCCTATCCCACCCCATCCCATGCTATTCAGCCCCAACCTATCCATCCCATCCCATTCCATGCTATCCCACCCCAACCCACTCATCCCATGCTATCCCATGCTATCCTACCCCAATCCACCCATCCCATCCCATCCCATCCATCCCATCCCATCCCATCCCATCCCATCCCATCCCATCCCATCCCATTCCATCCCATCCATCCCATCCCATCCCATCCCACCCCATCCCATCCAATCCCATCCCATCCCAACCTATCCCATTTCATGCTCTCCCACCCCAGCCCCACTCACGTGGGGAATGCGTTGCTGGCTCCTTGCTAGGGGACCGCGGTGGCTCTTTGGTGGGGGATTTCAGTGCCGCTGGAGACAACAGCAGAGGACAGGAGTGAGGAGGGCTGCAGGGGGCACAGCCACGCGTGGTCCCATCCCCATTGCGGCCCCATGGCTGTGGGGTTACCTGGGCACAGGGCACTGCTGTTGTAGAGCACACATGTGTCCCGTGTGGCCGCCCCGCTGCGCACGCAGCTCCACGTCTCTGCAGTGAAATGGGGCAGGGGTTTCCCATGGGGGTCCCGGGAGACCCAGGCGGGCCTGGAGCCCCACACCCCAAGCTGAAGGATGGATGGCACCGGGAGGGGGGAGGAGTGCAGCGCTCACCCGGTGCCCCACAGCCCCCCCAGAGGCAGCCGGTGCCGTTGGGCGCTGGAGGAGCGGTGGTGCACAGCTCACAGGACAGCAGCTCGCTGCATTCTGCAAAGCAAAGGGAGAAGCGGGGTCAGGGCCGGGTCCGTTCCCCACCTCCGAGTGGGAAGAACCGGTGGCCCCTCCTGGTGGGGAGCAGAGTCCCATCGGGTGGACATCCCTCACCCC